AAACCACACAATCTGAAAATGTTTCACAATTTATCCTTTACGAGCGTAAACAAGCATAACAAGTGGATATTAGCTGGTAAACTAGTCAGGCTATCTGCTCCAGCAGTCAGAATGCACTTACCATACCTCTCCGTATTCATATAAACTAGATAGGTGTAAGTTTGCAAACAAGGGTGTTTTTTTTTCCTGCCACTAATAGTCTGACCCTTCATTTTCTGTAACTGCTATGGATTTGGTGCCACTGTCTGATTGAGGGAATTAAGATCTGTGCAGGTGTGTACAATGTACCAGGTCAACAAAAAAAAAAATGGACTCCACGTGTACGCATGCAGAGATCAATGAACTAGTGCACAGTAAAAAAAAATAAAAAATACTAGATTCACACGGCACAGCAAACAAACAATGCTGTATTTTCTGAAAATCTTTGCAATTGTGTTTTTGATTTATTTTGGTTCTGATTCTTGTTTTGCCTATTAATTCTTAACATATGACAGATCCCAACCCTTGATCACGCCAAAAGAACCGTATGACCTTCTAGTTAGAGAATGACCGTGAATCATTCATTGTCAGTGCAGGTACAAAGCGTCCCGACACACAATTAGTATGAAACAGTAGACAGTACCATTCCATACCTGAAAACCTTGGGTTAAAAAAACAACCAAAACCTCAAAGGGACTAAGTGGTGGAGGGTCAAAAACCAGCACACTTATTCTATGTGTCACACAGACTGGTCACCCTGACGTTAACCTGTAGGAACTGTGTGGAAGAACATTTTAGTGGGTTTTAAATTGTAACCTATTGGCTAAACTAAAGTATTACACACTGCCTTTTGTTTACAGCAGGATCAGCTGATGTGGTGGTAGGTTTGTCTTCTTGTTTCTCTGTTTTAACCTCTGTCTCAACATCTGTTTCTTTGAGTCCTGCAGCGGTCGTTGCTGCTTGACTCTCACTTCTATCTTCACTCGGTTTTGTTTCTTCCTCTTCACCTGGTTTTGCGTCTGTGACAGTCATCTCATCAGAGTCTTTTGTGCTTTCACTCTCCAGGGCCCCGGTTTTCAACTCAACTGGATCCCTGTCAAGTTGTGCAACTTCAGATTCAGATGGCACAATGTCTTCTCCATTTCCATCCCCTTCGTCAGCAGTCTCTACGGGTGATGCTGTCTCTTTTTCTTCCACTCTGTGCTCCTTTCCTCCAGCCTCCTCTTTCTCTTGCGTAATCATATCAACCGGAGTAAGAGGTGTTAGATCCAAGCATGATTTAGGAGAGGATGCCCTCTTTCTCCTGGGAGGGACATCTGGTTTATTGAGCTCGGATTCTTGCCTTCCCAGTTCTTCTCCTCCAACAGATTTCCTGTCTAGGTCTGTAGGACCATCATCTACATCCTCCCAGTCTGGTTCATCTGGCAGGAACTCATAGCTTGAAAAGCCAAGAGGATCCACTGTGGTTTCTGACACTTTTTCTGTAGCTATTGAGACGCTTTTTTGAGTCTTGATGCTACTCTTTGCTGTTTGAATGTCGTCCTCTTCTAGGGATCGAGGGAAAGGCTCTATGTCACAGGGAGAAGAATTGTCACTAGATCTTAAGAAGTCTGTGACTTCGTCTGAGTGTTTCCTCCCTTTTTCAGACTTGGCAAGAATGTCTTCAAAGTCATACATGTCTTGAGGTAGAGTCCGAGATTCTTCTGATGTGAAAATTTCTTTTTCTTGCTGTTCTGTCTCCACCGCAGGAGTCTCATCAATCAGGACAAATTTCTCTAAATAACCTCTGGCCTCTCGGTCTGAATGCCTGCTATGGAAGGACTTTTCAGACGTCATGCTTTCTGCGTCCTCCTCCTTTTTCCTACTGCCCAATGCTTCCTCATACAGGTCAGTGTAAAGGAAAGCCATGGCTTTCGGCTCTTCCAGCAATATTTGGTCAATGATTTTTGGTGGTCCTTCAGGTAGGAAGATTGGTGTCAGGATGTCTTCTTGGCTACCGAACAAAGATGAACCACTTGGTTTGGAAGTAAGCCTAGATATCGGACTTTTTGCTCCTCCAACTTCATCAGAAGTGTCCACACTTTTTAAAGAGTAGCTTTCTGTACCGCCATAGAAGACATCATCTAGAAGGTCACTGGTTATTTCCTCTAAACTTACTGTGTCTGATTTGTCAATGTCCACACTTTTGGTCTTTGTGTGGTCTTCAGGTGCCACTGGTTTCTCAGTATACAGGTTGCCAGCGGCTGTTTTTGCCTCAGGCTCCTCCTGCCCTTGTGGAATCACAGCAGGACTTCCTGGAGCCTGGGCCTCAATCAGAGAGAACGCCTCAAAGTAGTCCACATTCCCAGTCACTCCTCTCACTGGAGGTCTGGCCACTGGAGCCCCTGGTGGGTCCATTGCACCAGGACCTGCAGGAGGTAAAACCTTAATCTGATCGCCAGGTTCTGCTGAGAATGGTAAGTCACTGTCTTGAATCTCTGCACTGGTTTTGGGAACAAGACTCTCCTCCAGATATGACAGGTTGTCCACCATTTCCTTGCTCTCCTCTTCGTCCACGGTGGCAAATTTGGGAGGGACAACAATATTGAGGATTTCTGAACCTTCTGACACGATCCTGAACAAATGCTGCTCCTTGTCCTCCAGAAGATCAGTCGCCTCCTCTTGTTCCCCTTCCGCTTCAGTTTTTACATTGGGCTGTGACACTTCTACCAACTCTGGTCGCCCTGAGATGCTGTCAAAGGTTTCATCCCACAGTTCTTGCTCTCTTTCTGCTTTACTCTTCTGATTGTTCACCCTTTCTTTAGGTTTTCTCTGTCTTACGATCATCTCTTCGTCCATGACAAATATGATCTTTCCTGCAGGCTGAGATCCCGATACTCCGAGTCGGACTGGAACTGGTGAGCTAACTTCCGCTCTTCCTGCTTCAGGTGTCCAAGGTGTGGCACAGTGACTCACGGTTGTTTCCCATGCGATCCCGCTGTCTTCGCCTTGCATGGTCACCATAGAGAAAGAGGTATCCATCAGCAGGCACTGCATTTTAGGTCGGACGCTGTCATCGTGGACGGCCTCACGTAAACTAAAGACATGTCCACAAAGTGACAATCAGGAACAAAAACAGAGGCTTTCTTTGTAAGTCTTGAGTTTCACACAATTTATTTTGGTCCCTGAATGAAAGCGCCAATGTTCCACTACAAAGATTGTATTTTACATGCAATCATCCAGCACTCATGCATACATAAGTTATCTTTCTACGCAATTGCCTTCATTGTTTTTAAAGTATTTCATATAAAAACAGTTCAGTTTCAGCTGATTGCATTCTAAAAGAAAAAATACCTGTTTCGAAGGTTCTCCACTTCATCACTTGCTTCAACATTTTGTTCTGCTGCATCTTCCGCCCCCAACATCGTCATTTCAGCTTCGACATCAGACCGTGCTAAATCTTCTGTCAATGTATCCATTGTATGGACTATCTTGATGGATTTGCTTAAATTTCCCAGCACACTTCAACACTGTCACTGTTGATCACTATGTGCTCAAGTTGAGTTTTCATGCTCAGCGTAATCTTGAAATAGAAAACCGGCCTTCCTGTGTTTCATCTAAAGTATTTACAGCATGTTGGGGGAGCTCACTTGCCATCTGTTCAATGTGTATAATTCAGTAGATGTGTAAAATATTAGCATTTTATTTTTATTATGCGATAGGTGGGGAGGAAGCTTAGTATCTTAACAACCTGAACACAAATGATTCAGCATTTTAAAGAAAATGCGTGATCCCTATCACTCCTGACTGGTCTATTTTAGTGCTGGTGGCCTGTATCCAGTGTCATGACTCAGTCTGTGGGTCTGACAGAGACAAGAGTGTTGAATATATTCATTTTGCTTTTAATAAGTATGAATTGATTTGGTTTTTCCTTATTTGCAATATGTAAAAGATAATCAAATGAACTTTTAATGCAAAGTTGCTCTTAAAGTTGCATTAAAAGCCCATTAAAAGTGCCAACTTTGCATGATTTTGTAAATTATGATAATTTAATGCAAAGTTGGCATTTTTAATGGACTTTTAATGCAACTTTTAGAGCAACTTTGCATTAAAAGCGTCATTATTTACAGAATAACACTTTATGACAACTGTCATAAACATTCATAAAGACTTCTTTATGTTCATGACAGATGTTATGTCATGTTTATGACAGTGTCATGTCAGTCTTATGCACACCCTTCAAATAAAGTGTTACCCAACCTTGTAACTGTAAACCAGTTTTTAAATTTTTTAAACCGCAGCTCACTGGTACACTTATTTTCCTACTAGTCCCATGACTCCCCTCCCAAGATGGTGGAAACAACGGCTTTGGGTTGTACTCTTACTCTTTTAAGCTCCCCTGCAATTTAAGGTACGTTAACGCCACCTGCTGGATTGAAATATAAACCGGGATTATAGAGGGAAATAATTATGATCCTACATTACGTTCTCCTAACTAAGGCCTGTCTCAAATTTGCCAATAAATAAATAAATAAATAAATATCTGATTTTAGACCTTTGAGAAAAGCAAGTCCGACATCAAAAGGCTGAAAAATATAAAAGTTTTGGAGTGGCCTTAAAGTCTTGACTTAAATTGAGACGGTGTAGGGTAACCTTAAACAAAACATTATAACTATTGAAAAAAAACCCTCCAATGTGACTGAATCAAAAACAATTCTTAAAAAAAAAAAACCCAGAAAAATTTAAGTGACAAAAAACTAAAGCACCGTAGACATCAATATTTAAATCTCCATTATTGCAGTGTGTCTTTTATACATATTTTCTCTTGTTACATTTTTCTACGACTTTTTAAAAAAACGTTTTTTAATCAAACCTTATATACCAAATGTATTTTGTGTATTATTAGCAGATCTAAGGATTGATTTGGACAATAAAATGATGTGCAGCTGGCGCAACCATTTTATTGCCAATTATTACAAAAGAAAAAAAAAGAATCTGATCCGAACGTGACGTGATTACGTCGTAGACTTTACGCTCCCCTAGGAGCGTCGGGTAAAGCTGTGCGGTGAATGAGACGGGAGACTGACAGAGGGCAGAGGGGTGGATGATGATGACGATGATGATGAAGATGAAGGAGGAGAATGATCAAGCCAACGAAGCATCGCCGTCGTAGTTTCTCGTCACCCGCATGCCTGTTTTGGAGAAATACCGAGGAAAAAAATAACACGTAAATACTCCTCTGTACAGATGCTGGAGCTCTCGCCAACGTAAGCCATCGGGTGAAGCTGAGCTGCTTTCTAATCTCAGAGGAGAACGAAACGTGATGGTAAAACCCGGAGAGGGAACCAAATTTCTTTTGTATCATCTCAAGGAGCAACGGAGAGAATGGAGCGCCGTCTGAAAGGAAGATGTTTGTCGCCTCCGAGCTGCAGTAAATGCCTCACATGCAGTGAAACTCAGTAATATTTCTCAGCGGGAGGCTTTTTTTTTTTTAATTTAATGGCACGTCGGACTTTGAAAAATAAGCGACTAAAGCTGGGATTTATGAACAATTTGTTAAACTAGGAATGTGAATATTTCTCCTCTTTTTTTTCTTATTCATCCCACTTCTTGTGAGATTTGACACCAGCTTCTTGTATTTATAAGCGAGCTAAAATCTTATTGGTCAAGGCTTGGTAATGTTTCGAACACTTTTACCAGCATTTACTGTCGAGCCTTTCAATTCCCCCCCCCAACTTTTAACTTAAAATAGCCTAATTCTGCTCTAAACCAGGCTCCGTTTGCTGTCAGCCAGCCCCATAATCCTTTAAAGTCGAGCAGCTTGCTTATTTGGCTAACGGTAGCAGCAACTAGCGTCTGTGCTGCTGTTGTGTTGTCGGTCATCATGCATGCACCGACACGTTTCGCTCCGACGAGACCAGCCGAAAGGATGTGCCCAAGGGCATAACAGCACAGCCAGCCATGTCTGACTGAGAGCAGCCGAACGGCTCCGCAGAGCGGTCCAGAACCCCACAGCGAACAGAGCAGAGCGGCTTTATTCAGAGGGGGAAGACAGCGGATCAACACCAGCAGCAACTAGCCCGTTCCCCCCCTCAGCAGGAGTCCATCGACTGGATCATTTTCGACCCAACTTGGCACTCAAACCAAGCAGAAATGGGGTATGTAACTGGCGGTACACTCAACGAAAACCTGTAACACTCCACTCAGCCTGTTGGGGCTGGGGGGGAGCAGGGGGGTTGCTGACTTTTTTTGTTTTTGGGTTTCGTGGAGCCGAGTTGAGTCTCATCTTTCCTGTCCCACACAACACAAAGCTAGCGTGCTACTCACAGCTAACTATAAATGAAGTGCTTCTGTCAGTGTCATTCCCCCCTTACACCGGTAAATAAGGAGAAAACTGGTCCAGACGGACACCGCGATACTCTGAGGGTGGGTGATATGGGCTTAAAAAATATCACGGTATTTTGTGGTAGTGTGAAAACAATAGTAACTATTTATTACATCTTTTTTTAAATGACCACTGTGGTTGCAACTGTATATGAAAGCAATCAAAGCCCCACAAACTCCTTAGGACCAGAGGCACATAAAGATTTTCAACCATATTAATATTTATTGATGCTGTCAATGAACAAAGAGTGGAGAAAACGATAAAACTAACAATCCTAAAAGTATGGACAGCGTTGGGGAGAGTTTACACACCATTAATTGGAATTTATTACGACAACATTTTTTATCATAAATAAAATTTATTCTGATAAATCTTATGAATCGTATGAATTCACAGTAGCCCAAGGCTACTTTGCAATCTGGCTCATTAAGGCAATTTTCTTTTACCATTTTGGTTTAGATTTTCTGTTATGGTAAATATATAAAAGACAAACTATCAGGCTTTGCAGGGATGTAACAAGATATGTAGCACTACGACTGTGTCCAACATCATTATGGCTATATTATAAAAGTTGCCAATAGCATTACTTGTTTTTCCTACATTATTATCCTGTCCTTAATGAGGTTAAATAAAGTTAAATAGAAAAAAAGAGAATAACATCTAGATTATCCAAATTAGTATATACATTTCTAATCAGTAATAATAATTCCAATTAAATATGCCTACAACAGGCAGACTCAGCAAAACATGACATTTTCAATTATGAACATAAAGTGTACAATGAGTCCAACATTATCTTTATATATAAGATAATGTAATGAGATATACAGAACTGTATAATTTCTAACTGCATAACTCAATGTACCCAGAATTATGACCTTTTGTTCACAGGTGACAGTTAATTAGTTTAATTAGACAGCTTCCCATTATTAAACATACAAATTAATGTCAACACCACAAATACAGTGGTCCTATTCATATTGTTTTAGTTTTATTAGCTTTATAAATGTGACTGCATTATGCATTTTGAATTACGAGTCACACACCTTTCCAGTTGGTGGCGGTAATGCACCAAAATGTTGTTTTCTATTCGCCATTAAACAAGAGGAAGAAGAGGTATTGCTCACTACTTCAGGCAAAAAAAAAAAAAACCTCAATTGTTACTTTGACTAGACCATTCTGATTCTAACAGTTAACTTACCGAGACTCTAAAAGAGAGCCGCTTTTTCTTCAATAAAAACTCCACTCGTTTGCATCGCACTGGATGATAAATTGTCCCAGAAGTCATTGTGCAAAACTATAATATTGTTGTTTTGAGACCATTTTCAATAGACTGGTAATGATATAATAATGCAAGTTTGCCTTCTGAAATACCATTAAACATTAATTTAGCAAAGAACATTAACTGGAAGATACTTTATATATGCCCCCCCAAAAAAACCCACAACAACCATCAACTTTAACAATGTCCAAATTGTTTTTTCATTTTTTCAAAGTAACTTTTAGTTGAAACCAAAAGTTGGTTATTTAAAAAGTAACCACATTTTGTAAGTAATTCCATGTCAAACATTGAGAAACCCTTCGATGCTTTATAACAAATTCATCCCAGCTGGGCGGCAGTGCGCAGGAACCGAAGCGCTGATTTACTATGTGCATCATGGAGAATGAGGCTGTAACTTTTTTTAACTCTTTAACTTTTAACTGCACACTTAAAAGCAACGGTCGCTGGTTTCAACAGCCATATTGGTGTATTAGAATTAAATATGTGTGAAATGAGCTGCTGCATGATTTTTGTTTTTGTGACCTTTTGTTCCCACTTGTCAATATTATGGATGCACACAGACATGAAGTATTGATATCTTTGCCTGTGCAATGCTTGCAAAGACAAAGTCCTGATAAAGTGCTAAATAAACTCCGTAAAAGATCCCAATAATTCCACTTTAATTCTTTACACATCGTTTCGAGCAGCTGATTGTCATTAATTTTCACTTCAGATTACAGAAGCTGTGACCCAGAAAGCCACGGATCGCAGTGCAGCACATGTTTTAGCTTCAGAAGTAACAGCCTTTAATTAAGTGCCGCGTGCATCGCAGCAGAACCTGCAGATGTTTGGTGATTCTCCTGATCAAGGGCGACCTACTTCTGGCTTCAGATGAAAGCAGATGACGTGGCGTGTGATTGGCTTGTTGTCGTATGGTGCTCGGAGGAGGAGAGGAGTGAACTGCTAACCTCTTTGTGCGCATCAATGTTCAAGCCCACGCAGTTATAATACAGCAAACAACTGATTCCTCAAGCATGGAAAAAGAGGGCGTCTCAAGCACGTGACCTGCAATTAAGGTCTTCTCCTGCGTCTGTCTCCGTCTTCCTCACCACCTTAGTATCCCAGGTTTTAACATGTGTGAGGGAAAAGCAATTAAACATTTCAAAATTGGTGTTCCGATTTATTGTATGGTTTAGTGTGAGTCTGCCATACCACTGTCAGACAACGCACTGTGGAAATTTAAAGTGAGATGAACAGCTTTAAATAGTGATGCACAATATATCGGCGCTAACATCGGTATTGGTCGATATTAGTCATTTTTTAGCATACCAGGATCAGTCCGATAAATAAAATTATTCCGATATGATATGTTTTCATCTTATTGCCATCTCGTTTCTGGCTGTTTTTTTTTATTTTTCAGAGGTGTCAAAATGGTCAAGAAATATATTTAGTATTGGTAAATATCAGTCATTGACCATAACAGCAATATTAATATCGGATATCGACACGGTCCCAAATTTTCCATATTGGGACATGATCCCTGGTTTTAAACCCAACCAATTCTGTTAGAAAACTAAATGTTTTTGAGCCAGAAGAAGTTGTCTAAAACATAAATACATTTAATGTTTCCACAGTTCATATCAAATTTGATCAAGCTGACGCTATGTAACCTGTTGTTGAAATAGTAGGATTTTGCCATCCATTTTATTTTTTCATGAGTTAGTATTAATTTTATAGCACAATAAAGTAACTATGTTAACGTTAGTTGTCAAAAAAATGCTGCATGTATCAAACATGAGTTAAAATAAATTTAACTTTGTAAATTATGCCTTGAAAGTTGACCTGCCTCTTTAAAAACTGCACTTTCTGATACTCCACCTGCAGGATGTCATCACAACCTTTTAACAAAGTTTTTATCAGTATTTCACTGAGAAGTAGCTCATAGAATGAGTTCCACCACGTGTTTGCTAATTGCGCCTGGCTAGTCTGAAGGAGCTCAGTGGGGGAAGTAGAAGCTTGGAAGCTTAGAAACTGCAGCTCTGAGTAGGAGCTTAGTTCCAGAAGGCGGAGCTAGGTCCCACCAGGTGTTTTGTACAGCTGAATGGTCGCCATGGGAGATTTAAGGATTCAAGCAAATACTCCATGTGTGCTTTTGATGAGGCAATAAAATTAGAACTTGATGTAAATCTCAAAAAAGTCAAATTTACATAATACTGCACCTTAAAAAAACATTAACCCTCCAATAAAAAAGTTGCTTTAAAAAATTGGAACTAATTCTTAAAATACAAAACTTTGGCATCTTATTTTTAAATTGGAAAGGGAAAAATAAAATTATGCTTTCAACTTCTAACACAGTAAATGATTTCAGTTTTGAGGCTTTTGTTAAGATGTGACTTTGTGGAGTTCTTCTTCTATTCCTTTAAGGTCCCTGAGGAGTTTGCTGGAATAGCAAATCAAAGTAAAAGCAGCATTTTAAGTGCCGGTCTTTGAAAATGTAACTTTTTTTTTGTATTAATTCTCCGTAGCATTTTGCTGTGCATGTGCTTGTGTAAGGAGCTGCTGCTGTGGAGCAGCATATGGGAGTCTGACTGGAGGCTTTGCCTTGCCAGGCGCCTGCTGTCTCCCTCTGCGAGGCGAGTGGGTTAACTGACAGGGACACCGGGATTGGATTGGGCCAGAGCGCACGTGGGAAGGAGAGCCAGTGATGGAAGTTGGAGGATGTGCGCGGCTCACGGCCGGCCCCGCATCACGTGGGCCGTTGCCTTGACAACGTGGCATCAGCGAAGTTAGCGATGCAGGGTTATTATTGCTGTGCCCAAGCTGCGGCCGTTTACGCTGAAGGTTTTATCTGGTAGAAGTCAGATTGTTTACTCTTTTTCTTTTCTTTTTTTTTTATCTCCCAATGAAGAAATGTTGTAAAGATTTGTTGTATTTTTATATACTTTTATATATATATATATATATATGCGGTAACACTTTATTTGAAGGGGGTTGAATAACTGTCATAAACATGACATAACACCTGTCATGTTCATGAATAAGCCTTCATGAATATTTGACTGTTGTCATAAAGCGTCATTCGGTAAATTATGACACTTTTAATACAAAGTTGATATATAATATATATAATTTACTGATATAAATTTGTTATAAAAGTATTACTGATTGCACTTTAAAAATTTGGTAACTTTGTTATTAAAGGTAAAGTTTAAACAGTAATGATTTCCTGGTTAATGTCAAGTTGTCATAACAAAGACATTTTGAATAATGTCAACTTTGTATTAAAAGT